TATATATATATCTATGTAGAAGAAAAAGAAAATAGAAAATACTTATAATAGTGTCCCAAGAAAGCTGAATAATCTGACAGTCAGTTGTCTGCTCAGCTTTTCAAGGCAGCAGAATGATGATACGAGACAGGTGCGGCTCTGGAGGGAACACCCTTCAATTCCACCGTAGACTGAAAAACAAACAGGAAAGGATCATGATAGTGTTGCTGTGTTCCCCTCACAGACTGACGTTTGATTTGTTTGTTTGTATGTAGTCTACATTGTAGAAGTAGACAAAATTGGCAACCCCATTTACAAACTGTCCAGTAATCCCTCTTCCCATATGATTGAATGTGTTTACTATGCTCATTATATAATTAATTTTATCATAGTTTCCATCTTTATTCTTCTTTTTACATGATTTTTCATGAAATTATAACATTCAGCCACAGTTAGTAACCTCATTGCAGAACATTGCTTTGATATGATGCAGTGCTTGGCTTAGTCATGAATGATAGGTGTGAATAGACTATGTGTGTAGGTTTTCTGTCTCAATGTGTGTCCTATGATTGCCTGATTGATAAACAGTCCAAGGTGTAGCCCGGCTTTTGTCGTAATAGAAAAATAGGTGGATGAATTTGCCAAAGCTAATGTCGGAAGGAGAGAAAATAACCTGTGATAATGGTTCACAGTTGTTCTCTAATGTTGATCAGATATTTCTTGGAATGTAACAACACTTGTTTGTTTTTTTTCTGTGTTTTGTCAGAGATCTTCAGAGGATTGGAGTGTCTCTAGCTGGACATCAGAAGAAAATCCTTACAAGCGTTCAGTCAATGAGGCACCACGTTGATGACCAGTCTCCTACTGAATCCGTATAATCGCCACATTCAAATTGGTGCGTTTTTAAGTCTTCAGGCAAGGGCGGCGTGCTCTATTTTCACGCATGTACGTCCCTTGTCTTTCCTCACCAGTCACTGTTCAGACTCAAGTTCTTCTATTTCTTTCTGGGATCGCTTTCAACTTCCTGCCTCAATGGAAGTGATTAAATGCACATTTGCAAGCGCTGATGCAAGGTTAGCAGTTCTTTGAGTGGTGAAAACAATGACAAGTATCTGCTCTTTACAAGACCAGATCAGCTCTGACCTGAATGGACTACAATCATAAAGGCCCATTTTCATCCATCCATCCTCTTTACCAACTTGACCGTTTGATTCAAGACCGGATTCTCCACCTTAAGCAGCCACTGTATGAACATGCTGGCATGGCAAAACTGTCTTGAAAGAATAACTGTGTGAACAAAACCTGTCCCAAAAAAGCCAATTTCATGGTTCCTGTGTAGAAAGATGAAAAAGTCTCATGTTATTGTCTCAGTGACAACTGCCACTACTTGAATACAGGAGAACCCATGGTGAAGTGAGACGATGACAAGCTTATCTTCATATTGAAGAATCTGTACATATTATGATATGGGGTGTTTATTTCTGATCTGATCATTTGTCTTGACTGTGATTGTGATTAGTGTGCTTCGCAATTTGCTTCTTTCAGTTTTTGATGAAATGGAATTACAGTCTGGTGCTTTAACAAACAGGTGGTACATTTTTCTTGGTACATTTGGCAATCCAAGGAGTATATCACCTCTTCCATGCAAAGGATGTACAATGGCTGACCTACTTAGGTAATTCATTCAAAGTACTTCATATTAGGGTTGTTAAATTTAGCACAAATACTCTCTGAAGCTCATCTTGGGAATGAGTAAAGTCCCATTCAATAAAACATAATAATAAAAAAAAAAAAAAACGACAGAAAACGAGTACACAACGTCAACAGACAGGCCACAGCATGTGTCAAATATTCAAGGGAGATTGACTGAACAATTACTCAAATGAAATGTTCCTGTTGTGCACAAACTGCAGTAGGTCGCACAAATAAGAGATAATCATGTGATTGAGCTGCAAAACCGACATATGACAGGAGGTCAATCACTCATTTTTTTAGCCAAGCACATCAAATGTCACATGCGCAAAATCAAATTTCATTCATATTACTTTGGATGACATCGGAAGGGTGATGAGCATTTTGTACCAGGCCGGGGGGGGAAAGCCTTTGCATCAGTCTGATTTTCTACTCACTGGTCACCTGATTGTGACATTGTTGATTGGTAAGTTGAGGCAGTGATGATGATTAAAACTAGAAATCATATGTGGTGAACTGCCTGTATTTTTTTTTGGGGGGGGGGGG